AATATATCACTTATTGCTGGAGGAAATTAATAAAAGCTGAAGGAACTGCTAAGTAGCCAGCCTTTCCGAACCTGCATGCAAAAGGCTCCGTTTAACCAGCAGTCATGTTTCAAGCTGTACACTGCCTCATGTGACTAAACAATTTACAATTCAAGGGCACATCTATAAAACAATACATATTTTTGTTTATCTTTGCACACAGTATGTTTAGACATCTTTAATATGTATTTGTTTCTGTTTGCAAACAAATTGATTAGAAATATATCTTATCTGGAGCTTACAGTTAACCCTGTCTGATGTTCTGGAAGTGAAATACGTTTTAAGGAAGAGCTACTTGAAATCTCTACAGGGTAATAATGGATGGGACATCATGTTTTCCATCTATAACATCATGTTTTCCATCGGCAGTCAAGGATACACCTTCTTCAACCATCCTGAAAATGTGCTGCAGCATCAGATCTGAACCTGAGTGCCCAGCTGTACCTTTATGAGCCATAACCCCGAGCTGGAAGAGCGCGCTTGACAAGCTGGTGATGCCAGTGTAATTAAAACAACATGATGCACCCTATGCGGACACTAATAGGCTAGAAATACAGCATTAATTAGACAATCAAACTGAAAAAAAACCCTGCACTAGGTTGCTCTAGGAAGATATCCTTCTCTAATGGCAAATAAATAGGTCTCCTGTAACCATTTCACTACTCACCAAGATGAGCCTGAAGGTGAAACAGGGCATCACATCCAGCATCACGCTGCAAGTTGTGGAGGGCTGGTATGAGACCAACACCACTTCTCAGGTGGGTGCTCCACCACACAAGTGAGGCAATAAGTATGCCTCCCATGGAGAGCTTCTATCTCGGTATTCAGTCAAGAACTCTAGTCCATCATGCAGAATCTCGGTACCTCAATAACTCACTTGTTACTCTATCACAGAGAGTAGCAGGCATCCATACACAGGAGCCCAGGTAGGTCTCTCCAGCCTGCTCACAGCTCTGACACATCCAAATCAGGACTAAGCCACTCAAACTGAAAACTTTAAAGCTCAGGCCTTTAATGACCCTCAGTAGCTAGTCAGCATGAAACAGGAAACAGGGCAGAGATGGAAGAAAAGGCAAAAACTCTGCCTTTTCGGTCAAATGCAAGTCTGTCGCTCACTTCAGTGACACCTGTATGCTTGCTTGTCCAAATCCAGTAACAGTCCACTTAATGGGCAGCACTTTTGCATAAATCACATTTTTAACAAAAATTATTAACAGCAAGAGTAGCTTTACTTTTCATTCTGCATAACTGTGGGGAATTTCTAAATTATGCCGTCACTCTAGAGGAAAATTTGAAGGAAGTGGAACAAATGTATGCTCTGTCTCCCTCTCTATCTGTCTGTATCAACTTCCTAATAACTTCTGAACTTGCTGGCCAGTTTGAAGCATATTTGCTACAGCAGAGATTTCTGAAGGCTGTGTCTGCAGGACAAGTAAAACTCAGTGGATAGTTAGCAGAAAGATCCACCCAGCACTGAGCATCTATCTCACCCTTTAGATTTGGCCAGCCAGCCAACCAGTTAGCATAGGTGTAATTCAAAGACAGGCTGTCACTTGCAAGGCAAATGATACAGGGGTGTGGGATGAAGCAGGGAAATTATGGAGACAACTATGGGGAAGGAGTCACAAGGAACATGATGGAGAGTGCTGCAGACATATGCAGAAGACAAATCCTTGGAAAAGTAAGATTCAACAGTTTCACAGGGATTGTTTTCTTTATTTTTTTGACACTTCAGGGATACTTGCAGGGGTTTGGATGTGAAAACATAATAATAAATCTGTGACCTGCTGAGTTTACTTGGTGTACAGAAAGACAAGCAGTATCACCAAATTTCCCATGAGAACCTGCAGTTCCTCTAGGAGTGATCCATTTCTTTCTCCTCCAGGCACATCAGTTCCTCCAGGAGAGATGCATTTCTTTTTCTGTCAGGCACCTCAAAGCATTAGAAGTTGCATTCAAAGAAGCCAGAGAGGTAACAGAGCTGGTCAGCCAGGTCCTTGCATTCCTCTAGGGCCTCCTACTGAGCAACCTCAAAGTACTTTACAGAGACTAGCAAATAATGGCATGCATGTCAAGAAGGGATGTACCGAACAACCAACCCCAAAAACCAAGTTACCCATTTGAAAAGCTAAACAACCAAAAACCAGCTGGTATATGATACACCTCCTTTTCCCCATGGTGATTTCCTCCTTTTTTCCATTAGCATGTTTGGCTTTTGAAACATATTAAAGCTAAAGACAGTAAAAGTACTTCTTATAATGATGTAACTGCCTTGTAACACGAGTGTCCCCTCAACACTAGCATAGTAAAATACAATCCTGGTTTCAGATGTTAATATTACTGTGGTCAACAGTTTTACTGTCTAATTGCACTAGCCATATCTTTGTTATTCAACGGGCTCTGGGGGTCATGATACAGAATTTCAATAAGGATACAGCTGGCCAAATTTCTGATCCTAAAACTCAGGGCAAAGCATTTCAAATTGCAAGAGGACATGTACTATAAATATTGTACAAGAAATTTGCATGCAGAAGGCCAAAAAGGGGCTGACAGATCTTGATAAGATCTTCATAAAGAGGGAGAGACGGGGGGTGCTCATCCATGACCTTGTATGGGAGGTGGGTGGGCATTTTGTAATCATAACTTCACTGCAGGGAAAACAAAGCACTGCAACAGTTTTTCATGGAATACTGGCCAAGCCATTTAAAATTAGACATCTGCTCATTTCATCCCTGTGTAGCTATCTGTGAAATACAGCCAAAATTGTTATTAAATCATGCAGTGGGTACTAAGCAAAGCTGTGCTAGGCTGCTTGACATCAGGCAAGAAAAAGAAAATTTCATGATTATATCGTTCTCATGTAAAAAATACTTTATGTTCCAAGATCACTGTAGTAAAAAGTCATAAGATATTTTCTTGGTTATCAACCAAATTCTGACCTCAGATACAGAAATGTAAATCCAGGGTGAGTCAACTGCACCAAAGGAGACTCTTTCAGATACCAGTGTCCTAAAGGGACAGCAAAGCCTGGCTCCTGTGCATGTAGGGAATGGACATCTGCCTTTACTGAACACTTCTGTCAGACATAAAAACGTCAACATGATACAAAGATGTGGAGAAGCAATAAGGATTGAGAGAAATATACAGTCTGTGATATTTCAAAAAAAGGGTTTATAAACTCATGGCAGCAAAAAAGCAAACTTGGAACGTCCTTACCATTAAGGCCTGCACCACAGGGCAGAACAACTTCTCTCTTTTGTAACTGAGGCAATCCAGACACACAGGACTAAAACAAGACTACCCAAAATGACAAGTCTCGGAAAACACAGCATCGCTTTAGCATTTTCTAAATTAAAATTAGCGCTCTCATCAAACACCCTTTTCTTTCCCCTCTTGTGTTAGTATTAAAGAAATAAGAATTGGGGAAATGTATCCCAAACTGAAGACAAATTGTAGCCTTTGGTACTTTTTCCTGGGACATGTTTAATAGCAGCTCTTATTTTGGTTGGTTGTTTTAGGGAATCCTTGACTTTGCTGAATTCTGCAATTATCTTTATTATTGGAAGAAAACACAAACAGGGGCTATCATGGCAATGCTCATTCACTGTGAGAAACTAGGACCCGTAAGTGAATAGAAGGGAAGTTAGTGAGAGAATCTTAACTACTGATATAAACCTGTAGATGTGAGGATAGCAGGGTGAGAAAAGTGTGCTTTTTTATGGAAACAACACAGCAACAGGAATACAAATCAAGCTCCATTAATTTATCTTCAAATTTTAATGAATCAGGATGCGTAGTTTACATAAAGAGGGTTTACTTAATAAAATATTTTTGCTAAAAGAACTGTAAATTGCAAGTTAATAGAGTTTTCCTTAAATAGAACATCAGAAGTTGAAAAAACACTGAAAAAGTGTACAGCAAAATGAGCCAAAATTCCAGTAGAGCAAAAATATTGTGGTCAGTTTCAAAGACTGGTCCCTTGGGAATCCAAATTATTACTTCATTTCACAAAAGACATAAAAACATTATTTTCAAAGGAAATGAAGCAGCAGAGGCAGGGAAGGAGATAAAAAAGCACCAAGAACAGATGATGTTAGGAGGGGGAGCTGGTATAACCTTGGGTGGAAACATTCACTGAAAGAGGAAAACCCTTCTGTAGCAACTGGCATTTCACTTCAAGAATACCTGGACTTTATTCAGGCTCTGTTGCTGAACAGCAGTCAAACTGAACTGATACCACTGTTTTTGTGATTTAATAATGATCTATAAGGAGTTGAGTAACTATAAGGTTAAAGAGGCACCACTTCTCCATGAATATGAGGCTCAGGCAGCTTGCACAAAATCAAGCAAGAAGCCTGAACCCAGATCTCCAGAGACCCGGTTCAGACCATCCTTGTATGGATGGAGACGACACAAGAGTCTCCAGCTTTTTCAGCCACCAATCAGTCTTTATCTGTGAAACATCTACGTGTCTTGAACACCTTTGACCACCTGCTCTTACATGCTTGTTTTTCTTTAGACGTCATTACAAAATGACCATCTCATACGGATATCTTTGCTATGTGCATAAAACTAACACCAGAAAAGTGAATCACCCAAAAAACATTTAGTTTCAGCTTTCCTAAAACTAGGAAAAACTGAAAAGCATCTGCAAATGAAAGCCCATTGGTTTCACACTGCAACGCATTATTGCCTCATTATCCAAGCTGGTGACTAGGGACGTTAGACACACAAAAGCAATAAAATTTGCATGATCACCTAATGTCTCTATTAGTCTGATGAGCTTTGGTACTCAGGGAACAGAGAAAAGGTTGCAGGACAGAATTAAAGAAGATAACATGCAAAAAACCTCAATGCCATTATATAGCTGTGAAGAAATAGTAAAGCTCCCTATTAATTTTGCAGTATTTAGTGACAGTACCTGACAAAAGGGAGCAAGCAAAGAATAAAACAAGACTCACATTGAGCTGGAGGTCATCTGTCCACTGGCCAACGAGGCGGTAGCCTGGAGTGCTGGTGTTGGTGGTGTGGTACTGGAAGATGTCGTAGCGCCCTGGGGCATCACCATTTTTGTTGAACATCACTGGAGTGCCAGCACTGCCTAGGGAAAGGAAACAAGACAAAAGCCGGTCAACACCAACTCTTTACAATATCGGTTTTATTTAGTCACAATTGAGAGCTTACAGACTGACAATGTGTTTCAGGCAAAGGTAATCCATCACCCAGCCATCTAAAAAGGGTACTTCAGAACACAGTGGCATCATCCTAGCCCTCTTCCAGAGATTAATTATCATTGCCCAAACCTCCCAACTAAAAATAAAACAAAGCAAAAGTAGATCAGCCTTACTTCATTCTTGCTTTGCACAAAGCAAGAAATACCAGTAGGCTTTTCTTCCTGCCCTCCACCCTCCCTCCTGTCTCTCTTTCCTCAGGGAGTTCTTTAGTGAAAATCACTCCTGTGAATGAAGCCTCTAAATGATACCACACCCCACCCCCTCCCAAAAATATTCCATCTGCTTCTGAGAGATACTGCTGTCAGAAGTCAGCCCAGGTCTAGTGAATCTTGACTAGCATCCAGAGATAGCTTCCTCCTCCACAATATGTTCTTATTCCCATAATTAGCATGCAGTTGGGATGGAAAAGAATAGACGAAGCTATAAGAAGACTGATCCTTGTGTACTTTATTATTTAGGTTCTTATGACCTGACGCAGGCTAAGAAGTATCTCAATCAGGAACAGTTCACGATCGGGTTCCTGAATTAACTTTATTTGCCATATACTAAGGTGACTAACATAGGTAATGAAGTACAGGGCAAGCAATAAGGCAAGCATACCCCTCCAACCCTTCTTTTGTGCCTTGTGCTGAGCAAAGCCAACCAGCAGCTGGGAGGTGCACCAGCCGCTGAGCAATGGGACAGATGACTCTTGGTATTCAGGTGAGTTCTCACCAGAACGTCTGCATTTTATTACCATGGTATTAGATACAAACCCTTTCTTAGATGAGAATTTGAAACAGCATTGCATTTCCTTAGATCTCTAGGTGAAAACTTCAAGGGTGACATTTATTTCAAGACATATTAAAATAGGTTTCAGTAGGGTAGAGTAATATTGTGTCGAGATTGAAGATTATGACAATGCTCCAGCATATCTATATTCAAGGCTTCTTCCTCCTGCATAACTTTTTTTTTTTTTTTCCCTAAAGCAATGAAAAAAATATCTCCCGTTGTAGCATTGAACTTTAAGATTATGGTTTTCTTCATGATTCCCATTCTTCATTGAATTCCAGTGAGTGAAAAGAGATTTGAAGGAGTGAATTAGCATAGTTTCCATTCTAGCCCTGGTAAATTGTTTCCTGTCAATCCCTACAATCCTCCAAGATCAGATACAAATTCAGTTCAAAGGCTCGTACAGAAAAACTTCCACTGAAATCTCCCCTCACTAGTTCCTTTATGAATGCTAGGCAGATACTTAATTGTCATTACAGATTAATGTAGCCAGAATACATTTAGTGAAAACACTTAAGAGTGAATAAGAAGAAATGGCTGTAATTCCTAGGCTTTTTTGGAAAGTCAGCACAAATGGTAAAATGGGATTTAGCTAATCACGACTCTTAGAAGGCTACATATTATTAGTTAAGCTTGGTTTTGTCAGAGCTGACAAAAAAATACAATTCAAAGAGTAGGAGCTCAAGTGAGGCTCCCAAAATGCAAGAGACACTTGCAGATTCCCCACATCCTGACAAAACCCCAGCATGGACATGAAAGGTCCATGTCTGCACATCAGGAGGCAGACTGAGGGATGATGCCATTGTCAAAGCCATGCCAAAGTCAACAGTCCTCCATAGGCTGAGGGGAAGCAGCCAAAAGCATGTCTATAGTCACCTTCATGGGTGACTATATGCTGCCCAGAACCCTCCCAGCTATGCCCTGGCCACCCCACCATGGTGCAATGGGTAGAGCCAATCCTCTCCAAGCCCTGCCTGGACACCTAGAGGAGGTTACCCACCTGCGTGCAGATGGTGCTGGCAGCACCCCCACTCCCTGCTGGGAGCAGGAAGAGGACAATGAGGTTGATAAGCAGAAGGCCAACATGAAAGACAGGTGCTGTTATGGACCTAAGAGGTCCTAAGGTGACAAAGCATCAGGAACCATCACTCCAAAATGTGCAACTTTTGTGTTTTGCAGGAAAAAGACAGCTTTTTGTAGGTTACTGTTAATTGTTGCTTTGCGTAGCTGCATGCAGACAGATTTTAGGCACTGACATTTAAAATAATCCTTAAGGTCAGTGGATGCGCTTGGATGCTGCAGGGCTGCAGACTCCACAGCAACATGACACGATACAGCACTGTCTGCTGGGTCACCTCCAGAGACCCCTACAGGCAAACTCCCTTGGGACATCGACCTCCTGCATGGATGTGGATACTTGATGGTCAGTAGTAAACACCTGCTGCTGTTTTCAGGTTAAAACACTATTTATGCATTAAAATTAAACAGAAAAATGTTTTGAAAAGTCTAAGATCTGTGGGGAAGACAAGTATTTATAGAAACACAAAGAACTGATTAGATAATCTTGGGTCATAAGTCAAGTAGAAGTGTCCCATTTTCTGACTTTGAAGTTGGGCTCCCAGTCAAGGATCTGCTTAGAACGTGCAAGCCTTCCTTAATCTTTGCGTGGGCTCTAGTGCATGCTTTGGTGCCCTTTTTTTACCACCTGTCTGTAGGGACCTGTCAGTCCTCTTTGAAATTGCTACAGCATTTCGGTCTCCAATCACAATTCAAGTTCCTTTGAACTTATGAAAATAATAAAAAGTCATGTATGAAAACTTTATTACAAAGAAGAAACAACATTTTCAAACATGATCCTATTTATTATTTGACTTCTTGATCTTCTAATTATTAAAACATACGGTTGTTTGGTTATTTTTTGATAATTTAGGATTTATTTTCCTTCTATTAAGACTTAGAAGGATTTTGCTCAGCTCCAGCAAGCACTTCAGAAACTATCAGCCTCCAGACTGCAGCTTCCTGCTCATTCAGAGGCTATGACAATTTAATTCATCTTCAGTTCCCTAAAAATAAACTGCCTTCTCACCACACAGACACAGAGAGAATATGACACCCTTTCACCTGCAGGATGCATTCAAAAAAAGACATGGTCTGACTAAATTTGTACGATTTCGATCTTTTAATCACCACAAGATGAGAAATGAATTAACAGGAGAAAAACAGGGTGCTAGACAGGTGTAAATAGCTAAGGTGTTTCTTTATTATTCAGTTCACATTTACTGCAGTTTGAGGACCTGAAGAGCTCATATGAACAGTATTGTTAGTTTTGTCACTGGCAAAAATACAGCCACTTTGTACTTTGAGATTATCAGAATCTCCCTGCACTTGAGGTTTTAAGTTTTCCTTACTTTGGCCTTTTTTGTTCTCAAGGTAGTGTGATGATATCAAAATGCATACTGAGCTTCTTGTACAAATCCTGTCTCTCTTCATTAAAGCATTGCTTGAGCTCTTTCCACATGAATGTCATTATACCTTTGCAAGGAAGAAACGACTCCAAAAGCAGGTACAGACAGGATGATTTCAACTGCATGGTGACAAGGAGATCTATTATATGCAAAAAGGGCAAGCGCATGGGCTCAAGATGCTTGAAAATGGGCTACATTTTTTCTCTGTGACATATAGTTTGGGCAAAGCACTCTCACTCCTCTGCTTTCCGGTTTTACTACAGATTTAGGCAGAAGTATCAGACAACAGGATTTTGAGCATGGACTACATACTGCTTTTCAAGTCCTAACTTCAAAATCCCTGGAAGTGTTCAAATCCAGGTTGAATGGGATTTTAAGCAACCTGGTCTAGTGGAAGGTGTCCCTGCCCATAGCAGGGGGGTTGGAACTGCAGGATCTTTAAGTCCCTTTCCAACCCAAACCATGCTGTGATTCTATGATTCTTCTGTTTTCGGAAATGTCTCAGGAAGACCCAGGTTCCACTCCTAGGTGGCTTGTCCTTGCAGAGCTGCCTGCGGGGAGGAGCACACTCCTCTGACCCTGCCCTCCCAGCCGTGACATGACAGATAAGGAACATGTAAGCACCAGCACCCATGTTCCAGGAGCCCCCAGGTTTTGCCAGTAGGAATACACCACCCAGACCAGCCAAAGCCTCTTTCGCTACCTCTTCCATTACCTCATTCCTTCGTATTTTTCAGGCTGGCCTAGTTCTTTTGGTGAGATATGACTGCTGTTTATCCTGGGCAGGTAGGAAGACCAAGCCAATCCACAGAAATGCTTGGAATTTACTTTTATAGAATACCAAGAAGAAACTGGCTTCAAAGCATCTTTCCATAGCCTGAGGAACGAGCCCAAGCAGGGCTGCAGCTGAACATGGAGCCTCGATGTAGAAACACATGTGCACTTACGCACTATGAATGTCACAAGGAAAAGCTAATCTCTGCCTCTGGATAATCAACCTTGAAGGGAATTGGTTCTTTCCCCATGGAAAATGCCAACACCCAGATAGCCAAGTGAAATTAAAAAGGTTTAAAGCTATCTCAGTTTTGCCACCATTCTCCTTCCCATGCTAAAAAGCAAACCACTACTTCAGTCCCTGTGCTGAACATGAATTACACATATACAAGCAGAGAAATACACCATATGGCCATGTAAATCAATCACAAATGGAGAGAAAAGAATAATCTTTCGAAAGCCTGACCAAGGAAACTCAGATAAGGAAATCAAAGTTGGTGCAAGCCTATTCCTGGACTGGGACATTAGGCAACATTAACTGGACACCCAGGTCCTCATAAATTACTTCTCAGTGCTATTATAGTGATTAGATTCAGCATCTTTATATACAAGAACTGTCAAGATGACCATGTGTGAGCTGCTTGTCAGTACTAAAGTGGCCCAAGTGCAATACTGTACATGAAAGCTCTACAGGAGCTTTGTCCTTTATAATTAACCTTCCAAAATGAGGAAAGTAGAACTCCAGAACTCCCTCAGATCATTCATCTCAAAATTTGCTCCTGGCTGTAGTTAACGCCTTAGTTCACCTTTCCTTACTTCAAGGAAAGAAATTAGTATCTCCTCATATTCACCTTGCTGTTCATAAGATGATTTACACAGGAAGGAAAAATATCCTTGGTACAAATTACCAAGCTTGACCATGAAATACCATCTGTGTCCCTACCTTTAAATCTCTCAGGTCCTATTTGCTATGCGTGGGTTTTGTTAAGTTTATTAATAAAAATGTTTACTAGTAGATCGCAGCAGGGAACGCCTCACTGTGCTGCCCGAGGAGAACGTAAAGCTTATGCAAACCTCTTTCTAGGCAGTGATTAGGCTAGGCTAGAGTCTAGTATAATCTAGTGACTAGAGCCCTGGCTGCCTTGCAGTTCAAAAGCATGTTTTTTCAGGACTTTCCTAAATCTATTCTAAATATGGATTTGGAGGTCTAACTTCTGGCTCCTGGGTAAGTCTCAGATCTCAGTGTTACACAGAGCTAAGGCAAGAGCAGTAAGACCTCCTGGTAAGTACAAGGTTTACAAAGGAGACATAACATTAAGTTGCTGGAAGCGAACTGCTCTGGTGCCTCTGGGCTGGTTGCAGGCCAATGTTTGTTAGTGAAACCAATAAAATTACAGTAAAACACATAAAGGCAAGAAAGCTGTGCTACTATTTAGGCCTGATTTATATAGTGCAATGCAGGGAAAATATATGAAAGCCCATTGTAGTATTTGAAACAGCGGGTTGGTATTGCAACCATCATTGCCGCACTTGGGAAGCCTAGGTGGAGATGTGATAAGCAGACAGAAAGATAAAGTGCTCCCACCCTCATTCCCAGGAGGTTTTGTCTCCTCTGAAGTCTTACAAGAGGAAGGAAGGTTGGAGTAACTACTCTAAGTCACATAGGTCTGGCTCTGCAAGCGGACCTGGCCCTTTTAATTGTCCCCTCCCATCTCTTGAGCTTGCAATTAAACTAGGCTTAGGGTACCAGAATTTCATCCCTGTAGCTTTCTCTAAGTACAAACCCAATATAAATGAAGAGGAAAAAAAGATGTGTGATGCTAACAAATTTCTAGGGCTTCAACAGGCTTACTTAGTCAGAGATAAGCTTAGGCTTTTACCCAGTTATTTCTCCCATAGGAAATCGGTCTTCTGGAAGGTATCCTAAAATAGCAACAGCAATTTCCATCTTTGGGCAGTAGTAGCCTATTTGCCTTGGCCAAAACATGAATAAACATGGTCTTCTGCTACAAACTCTAGCATAACAATAAAAAAGTCTTGATCTGCACTGAATGAAAAAATACGTAAAGTGAAATTAAGTGGAAAAAAGTCACATGGGTCAATATGCTACTGAAGCAGTGGTCTCTGCTCACCGTTGAAGTTAACGCTGCGGATGTACTTGAGCAGCTTTTTGCCTCCTGCGTGCTCCATCTCAGGGCAGACCCCCGGGTAGTCGGCACAGAGGTCCTTGTTCATGTGGTGCAGAGCATGTGCCATGGCATACACAGCATCGATCACAAACTGGACCTTCCCCTCCTGCTCATAGTGGGAGTCTTTGCCAATTCTCTCCTGTCCTGCACATTAGAAACACATACACACGCAGAAGGACAGTAAGGAACAGCATTTTCCTGATATCAAATACAAATGAATCCTCTTCGAGCACACTTAAAGAACTGCATGCTTTAGTCAATATAATAAAACATTTTGAGTTATGGTTTTACTAATTGAAACAAAACCAAGCCTTTCTTGATAGTAGAATCACCAACACTTCTTGCAAGTTTTTCTACCATAGTCCAGAGAAACAAATCCTACCATAATCACAAACTGGAAACTAACCTACAGGGACTATGTCACAGAGAGAAAACACCAGACTCCGTATGCTCCCAAAGTATGTCTTCGCAAGAAGAAAGCATTTAAAATAAAGCACAGCTGGTATTTAAAGTCTGATGTTTTGTTCTGCTGCAAATCCCAGCCTCTAATTGAAAGACAGAGCCAGATTGAGGGAAGAAAGAATCACTTCAGAGATGTAACCGAAGGGGTGCTCCAGAGAATTGAGTGAAACATGCCTGCTACTAATGCCACCTCGGATAGCTCAGTCTGTTTGCATTAACTATGCACCCCTCCTCTTCCCAACCTGCAGAGACTGACTGCAATGTCCTTCAGAATCCACCGATTGCCTTTAAAATATTTTAGCAGGCAAGAACTTAAGGAATCCAAATGCTTAATGTCATCACAACTGCAATGGGGGAAAAGCAGTGGTTTTAAAGTAATTCCTTGATTGCTGCAGCACCCAGCATGTTAGAAACTACAAACCCTCTGCCTCAGAGATCTTCTCATCCAACAGGCCAAGGCATAAGAAAAAGTTTGAGAGAAAAGAGGCATATTTGCAGATGGAACACAGAAATTAAATCACAAAGAGCAAAAAGAACTCAGCAGTGACAAAAAAAGTATTCTAGGTGTTCGGCTCGTGCCTTAACCATTCTCTCCCTCTCAGACTTGATACAGATATGTAACATGACTGTAAAACCAGGCAAGAAGGTGGCCTTCCTGCTTTTATGGTTGTGTGAACTGCAATTAAGCAAGCCAAACAGCATATTCAGAGCTTGATGTAGGCACAACAGAGAATCAGGAATCTCTGATTATTTTTCTTTCCATGACATTGTCCACTCACTTCTTGTTTTACATTGTCCAAGTAACACCTGCATGATTCAATCTGTCCAGCTGAAAGATGTGTGATGATATTTCCCATCTCACCAGGGTTTTGTGAAACGTAATTACTGCTTGTGAAGAGTTCTGAGCTGCATCGATGAAAACAGCAGAAGTGCAATCTATTCTTTTCCAAGGGTGGCCACACTCCACTTGTTTTACCTGCGGCATCACACTTATTTCTGACCTCACATCAGGCTTTATCACGTTCCTGCAGTATCTGCAAGTCTGCCTACTGCCAGGAGCTCCAAGAAACCAGTGCTTGGTGTAGTCTCTTGCAACTAGTTGGGAGACATCCAATCAAAGTAAATGTTCAGTTGGAGGATACAAGTGGGAAAAATTCCTTTGTTAACATCCTTAATTAGAAATAGAGATGAGTGAATTGAAATTAGCTGATTGATTCCAGTAAGAAAAGGAAACCAGGTTGTTAATATGAGAATGAATGATTTTTAACAGAGGCAAGAAGTCCATTTTCCTGTTGCTGTGTAGCTGAAATGTTTGTACCAGCTCATGAGACAAAGACAGTCCCCCTCAAACAATCCTTTTTTTTCCTTCTTTGAGTGGAGAGGCAGTAGACCAGAATTACAAATAAACACAGAGAAATCACCTTCTAACAGAAATTCTACTAGCACAAATAATGTCTAAATGTCTGCAAAAGTGATTGAAAATAAGCAGAGATGTTAATCCCCTTATATAGAATCACAGAATAGGGTTGGAAAGGACTTTAAGATCATCTAATTCCAACCCCCCTGCCATGGGCAGGGATGTCACACACTAAACCATGTCACCTAAGACTCCATCCAACCTGGCCTATCTACGCTTTTCCTCCTTCTTTGGTTACCTCTGTAATTACCAAACTGCACCTTTGATGTGTAATCCACTCAACCTACGTACCATGTTTGAGAGATCTGTTACCAGAGCCCCTCAATTTTATATCTCAGCTACACTGGAAGCATTGAAATCCTGCAAACAATTCAATACTATAAGAGAACTTCCAGACTCTGAAAATCCACGTACTGTCCTTTTCATTTTTTCGCTCCCCTCTCATTGATTACAGAATTTACTACATTTCCAGGCCCTGACAAGGAAAACGCTGTTAAGTGGTTTCAGCTCAGCTAAATAACCAAATTAGCAATGCAACAGAAATTCATGCCAAAGGAAGGAAATCTGGGATTGAAATGCTGCACACAAACAATACTGATTAGGCATATTAAGTTCCAGAAGCATGGCTGGCCAAATGCACAGCAGAAAGAAAACCTTTAGCAGTTAAATTATCTGTGAAAGGAACCTGAGCAAAATCCACTTTAAAAAAAAAAAAAACCAAACCAAGAACAATGTTAGCAGTGTCCCAGTATGAAAATAATAAGGATTTGAAGAACTCAATAGAATTTCCAGTAACAAGAATGCTTTCCTGTACTAGAAACAGCCATTTAGTTGAGTATTATTATCAAGAATTTGTGCCAAATAAATCCAGATATGGAGTCAAACGCAACTGCCCACCCAGAAGACATACAGAACCTTATACAATTAGAACAAGGGTGTGGTATCCTTCATCTAGAACATAGGTTACCTTTTAAAGTGGCTTTATTGCATTAGAAGTTTAGCCCAAGTTTGAACTAGAAAAGAACTTGCAAAGCAATTGCCATATTTTACATATGTCAAAAACTCTCCAGACTTCAACACTAAAAAAAAAAAAAAGAAATTGAAATATCCAGAAGAACAGAGTGTTCCCTCTAGTTTATATCAAACTACCACCACAGTAACCCAGTGAGCAGCAAATCAGGCCCAAAGTCCATTCTCAGACAGGAATAAACCTAAGTGATGGGGACAGTTTTACTTTCAACGTTAGTGTGGCAACTGAGTGTGCCCTCAGCAAGTTTGCCGAC